AGTAACATTATTATGTATACCAGAATGGACCTGCTGCGCCATTTAAGGTGGAACGGGGAATCTGAACAAGAAGCTGACCTCTTCTTCGTGTGATTTAGTCCATGAAAATATCCCACCTACAGTTTAATGTGGAGCTCTGCCTGTAAACTCGCGCTCAGGTCTCATCAGAACCCCCGCTGGTCTCACCCAGCTGAGTGTCGAGCTAAACTGTGTAATACCTTCCGTTACTAACGGTTATAAACACAGCAAATACAGTAAACGGTGACTTATAGTGTCGTCCGAGCGCGACAGGTGACAAAATAAAGAAATCAGTCTCATTATTACTCAGATATTATCTCATTATTAGTCCCTTTAAACGGAGAGTCAACTTTCAGTTTCGTTTCCTTTCCTGCTCGGCTGCTTTTGTCTGTTACCCAGCAACGTGTGCGCATGCGTATCAGCGATGCAGCTGAAGAGCGGCACAGAGCGCAGAGTTTAATACGCGGAGAAAACACAGTTTATTCTGTTTGTTCCAGTTTAGTGATGTTCAGTAATGATTCAGCTTAGTTATCTCAGACGGAGGACCTTAATCCGAGCTCGAGACACAGATTTTAAGGGTCTAATGTTTATTTTAGTGAGCTTTTAGCTAGAACCCTGTCACAGCCTCAGCAGGTACCATAGTTTTCAGAGAAACAGCCACCAGAGACCCCCCCCCAGGTCTGATATGATTGGCTTACAACCCAAGAGGTCTGATATGATTGGCTTACAACTCATGAGGTCTGATATGATTGGCTTACAACCGACGAGGTCAACATAAAGAAGATGAAAATAAACACACCGTGTTCTCGTGCACATATCAGAAATTATGAATCAGTTATGAATGATATCAGAGAGGCGCTGTGCTTGTTCCACCGTCTGGAGAATATGTCTGCTGTAATGTCTGCAGTCCACCGGATGTCGCTGTGCTCTCTATTTTCAGAGCTTCAGGGCTTCGAATCAGGAAAATGATCAATCAATCGCTTCTTCTTCCCATCATTAGCTGTTGCATTAGTCCACTGACTGCAGTATCACCTCCTCAGCCTAGTTTTAGTCTAATTTTAGTCTAGTTTTAGATGGTTTCAGATGGACAGAACAGGGGTGTAGTCCTAAGAACAAAGTTAATATACTCACCTGATGGGACGCAGCTCAGTAGAGATTTAGTGCTTTTCCTCTTCTGACACTCTGAATTTAACTCTTAATTAAAGTCTTGCTTTCCTGTTTTTTAGTATTCTACAACAAATAAATAAAGAGAACAGAGCGTCTTCCTGATCTTTTAACCTCAAATAATCGATACAGCTAAAATGTTGCTGTCACTATGGCAACGTTTCCCTTTCTGTGTGCTGCTATCGGGTGAGTATCGCTGTAAGGTCCACATGTGAACAGTTTTAGAGTGAAATGTATGAAATAAAGACCAGCAGACTTCACATTTAAAACAGTACAAACTGAAAGGCTTTATTTTGTACATAAATCATAACAAAAATATTGGGCCACCCCAGGGACACTTTTCTCATGCGCAGATTTTACACAGTATAAACATGGCAGAAAACTTTTCTATGTGCAAAACAGAGACAGGACAGAGAGAGCGCAGCCTTGTTCTTCAATAAATCACTTTAAAAACACAAGATTATATATTATTACATATTGTTTAATAAAATTCATATTATTTTTGTAATGAACATTGTTTATAATGCAGTGCTATAAGCAGTCAGTGTACACATCACTGCTACAAATAAAGACAGCTTTGTTTTCAGTTCAATTCAGTTGAAAGCAGACAGCTGTGTCAGTGTTAGTACGTCCATTGTAGTCAGGGTTACCCGTAACAGACTGGGGGGCGAGTTGTAACAGTCACTAAAATGTCTGCTAAATCAGTGGAAACACAACTCAGCACAATTCTGTTCAACTCAAACAACTCAGTTCTTTAAACCAGACGAGTGCTGCTTTCTAAATATGTACAGATACGCATTAGACTGGGCTGCGCTTTCCCTTATATGACTGATTTGCATAGAAAAATGCATAAATATGCTCATTAATAATCCACTTGAGGGTCAGCATTAGGATTTCTGAGACCAACACGTCTTTCCAGAGGCACAAAGTAACAGTATAAACACTCTGAATGATCCTGAGCAGACTGTAAAAATGAAAACGCCCACATTCCTAAGCAGCACTGAGTTAAACTACTGAAGAAACCCAAACCGTTCAGGAACATGATTATATTTATTGTTTTATTTAAATAATTATATTAAAATGAAACTGTACAGTTTTTTCAGTGTGTTTGACTCTCTGCTGTCCTCTAGTGGACAGTTTTAACTAAAGATTTCTGATCCACTCTGAACTCCTTCATAATTTGGCTGAATTTAATATTCTGCAGTGAAATCCCTTCATTCTGGATATGTGCACATCGGCGTCCACTCTGAACTGAGTGCTTTGCAATATTTGTGTTGGAAAGAAACTATAAATATACTGTATACTGTGTCTTCAGGAAGCCTCTGTGAACTACAGCTGCTTTTTCTGGGTTTCTATTTACAGTTTTGTTTACAGTTTAGTTTAGATTAAACTGATCTCTCTCATGTGTTAAAAAGCAGGAAATACACTCAATGTAATACTGTGAATATTTGAAATTTTCATTTTCCATTGTAAATAAGCTTCACACAGCTTTTTTATATCAAGACTTGCTTCTGCTGTGATACTGACACAATAGCAGAGTGCAAAAAAAAAAAGACAGTGATCAACTGAAATATGCCTGTACAAAATTCCTCTCCATAAGACCTTTACATACATGACTTTCATGACTTTAAATTGACACACACACACACACACACACACACACACACACACACACACACACACACACACACACACACACACACACTCTCTTCTACTAAGCCGCTTCTCCTTCCAGTTTTAATTTACATATGTACAATAATATACAAGGGCCCAATCCCATTTCACCCCTCACCCCTACCACTCAGCCCTTAGCCCTCTGTTTTGCACATTCACGTCTAGGGGTGGGGTGAAGTGTTGGGGCTACATGACCCTCCAAACGGAGGTTTTTCAGAGATTCCAAACAGAGAGTTATGAGAAAAAAAGATGGCGCACAAGAGACCAAAGAAACACACAAATGTGAGAATTTTCCCTGTTAAAAAATTACGATAACCATCTTATTATCTTAGTTTAATGTCGTTTGTGTATTATGGTCGTTTTTTTCATATCAAGCATTAGAAAATTGCTAATAGCATGCTAATGTCTCGGTAGCTAGCTAACTTTCCCGTTCCACCTTAAATAGTCCAGCAGTTCTGACGCCTGAAGCGCCAGAATCTAACTGCTGCACCATTTAAGTTGGAATGGAAAAAAGAATCTGGTGAATATCTGACTTCAGCTTCATATCACTGAAGAATTAGGGGTGGGTGATAATAAATAATTGCCCCCCTCTTTGAAGATCAAATGTAACTAAAGCCCAGCAGTGAGGAGCTGAACTTTACCCTCCTCTGCTGTCACTGCAGACTGGCAGGGTCGCCTACAGAGCAGCGCTGGTAATGAATAATGAAGCTTGAGGGTCTCTTTTCGTAGGGTAAGATTTCAAACACTACCCCTTCTAACTCGGTTCCAAGGGCTTAGGGTGACACTCAAAAACGAGAAATGGGACTGGGCCAAGCAACCAGGTTAAGAGGGGCTGGGCTAAATCTCAGGGTCATAACACAGAGCGATGTTCTCACTAAGCCAGTATGTCAGTCAGAATATGAATAAGAATAATAGAGCAAACAAACACAGAACACAGCAAAGCAAGACGAGCTGAAGAGGTTAGTTGTGTCGGGAGGCTGTTTAGGATCCCCTCCACTACAAAAAGGAGACTTTAGAAGACCTGGACTGGATTGTGGAGCTCAGTGACTGGAAGGGCAGAAAACTGTAACTGATTAATGGAACAAACTGATCAGAAATGGACCAGAAATCATCCGTTCTACATAAATAAATACTGTAAAGATTGGCGCTGAACTGCAGACGACCTATAACTCTAAACTATTCATGTGAAAGGTGAATTTCACCGGGAGGTGGTGAGTTTATATATGTGGCTTAAGACATTTCAGACGGTGGAATTGAGAGGATTTATCAATCTGACTGTCCTTCAGAATCATCACCTGATAGAAACACCACAACTGTATCACAGTGTAAGATAATTCAGCAGTTCAGTCGATTAATCATCCTCTGGACAGTTCAGTTCAGTCTGCATTACAAAGTAAAAACATACAACATCTCAACTTTCACCAATTATGAACTAATAAATAATGGAGATTAATAATCTAACAGAGATTAATAATCTGATGGAGATTAATAATAGTTTTTGTAATAAGGTCATGGGATGCAGAATTCGCCCCCACTTCCTTCGATTTCAGCTTCGCGAGTTGTTCGCCCTTTGAGGGGTGTGTTTGTCTACAACACCGAATGCAAATGAACCCGTCAACAGGGATGGGGGAGGAGCTAAGTATTGCGCTACTTTTTATAAGGACTACACATTTTTGTACCTAAGAGCTCTAGTAGTAAATTTAGTTATTTAGTCTAAATTGTGTTGGAGATCACCTTTGGTTGTGTAAGTTTAACTGTTGGTTACACTTAAACTCACTTTTTAGTGATTTTTTTTACAGCGATTTACAGTGATTTGTATATTTACAGCTTTTCAGTTGTATGTTTCTTTCTGGAACACTACTTTTCAAAAAGTAGCCACTACTTATTCTGGAAAAGTAGCTAAATTGTAGCTGCTACAAATCTTGGGAAAGTAGCTAACTACTAATTTTTCAGTAACTACCCCAACCCTGCCCGTCAATCAGTTGTGGATTTCAAATAAAATTTAAATAAATCCTCATCTTAAGTAGACTCGATTAAACTGATCTGAACTGAAACTGAACTAACTCATCTTTTTCTGTTGGTTGATCGTTTATGTAGCCAGCCAACATGTATCAGCCTGATATGCATCATCCTGCTGTAACTGCGATTCTGTTCTGTCTTTTAACGCAACAGCAGCAACAACAGCGTCAGAGACTTTATACCAGGCGTTCAGTTTTGGATTGAACAGAAAGGGGAGGCCAAACAGAGCTGCTACTACCCTGCCTTTCACATCGTTCAGACAGAACTGGATATGTAGCCACAGACACAACGAAGAAAAAGGGAGCGAACAAAAGAGAAACAGAGACTGGGAATAATCTCTCCTCTGTTACTGCTCATTAGTGGGGCTTACAGGCTTATGGTTACTGATTCCATTGCCTTCACATCTCTTCTGGAGCAGCTGAATTTTTCTCCACATCCACACAATCACCAACAATAATACCCCACACACAGTGAGGGAGAGGACAGACAGCCACACCAGCACAGCGGCTCTCTGGTCTCTGCAGGGCTGGTCATCTACAAAACAAAAACACAGAACATGGCAGATCACTTTATACACACTGTCAGATTCCTGATACAAACACAGTTCACACTCTGTAATAATCCAGCTCTACTGCAGCTCATTCTGAGTCCCAGTGTAATCAGTACAGGAGGATCTCTATAGGCTGAAGTGTAAAGCGTACCAGATACAGCACTGAGGCGGAATCGAGGCTCATCAATCTGTCTCTGTGCTTCAGAATCATCACTTGACAAAAACATCATCACAATGCAAGACCTCAAACTGGAGATAAACACAGTTCAGCAGAAACCACTGATTTAGGATCTGATTAATCATCCTCTGGATAGATTAGCATCTCCTTTATGAAGCAATAATGAACAACACTGTGAATTATGCCCATTTTGAAACACTAATAATAATGATGGGGAGAGTATTATTGAAGTTATATTTCACTAAATGAAACTGAGTCCTGCACTGTGATGTCATTGTAATGACTGATATGCTTTAAATGGTTTAATGAATATGAAGCACTGGAGAGGCTGAGCTACATAGAGAACCTAACATACTACAAGATCTGGTCAAACTCACAAGCCATCCAGCTTGGATGATGAACAGACATGAGGTATATATACAGACATTATGTTAGGCTCTCATTTCTGTTGACGAAAAAGTTCTCAGTCAATTTTCAAATGTAACTGCACCAAATTCAGATCCAATCACTGCTATAAGATCAGTGTGTGATACAGTGAGGATGATACCAGAGAAGTAGCATTCGGCTCTAGTCCTCTATCGTCTAGTCACAGTCGGCTTTAATCACAGGATTTATTTATCCCTAAACAAAAACTATTGATATCCGACTGTATATTCATCATTTTCTTTCGCTTCATTTTCTGCATGATTTTTCTCTAATCCATCCTGGAGTTTTGAGAATGACTGGTCTGATGGGGAATGATGTACTTTTTGATCGAACAGTTTTCCTGCATTTATTGTTGATTTATTAATTTTTAAATTGAATTGAATTGAGGAACAATGTGAAAAAAGTTTGTGCACCCCTTTTATGTCACTATGATACAAATACACCAGCAACATCCTAGCCTCCATGTGAGTTACCATAACAACTGTTTAGTAACATCCTCGAAACCACCTGGGGCATCATAGCAACCACCTAAGATATCATAGCAACCGCTTAGCAACACCATAGCAAACACTTGGCACACCACAGCAACCACCTAGCAACACGTGGCCATCAGTTACCAGAGCAACCAGTTAGATATACCCTAGCAACCATCTGGGATACCACTGCAACCACCTAGCAACACCCTGGAACATCACAGCAACCATGTAACAACACCCTAGCAACCGCCTGGGTACCACAGCAACAACTGGGTACAACCACCTGGCATACTGTAGCAACCACCCAGCAACATCCGAGAAAATCCCTACCAACTGCGACAGATGTTACCATAGAAACCACCTAACAATTTCCAGTTGAAATATGATGTTGCACCCCTGAACAGACGATAATCAAAGATCAGAAACTCAGTCGCAGTGTTTCATGTTACTGTTTGATCAACTATTAACACCATCAAGAGCTCCCCCTTCTGGATGCTTGCAGACATAACAAACAGCTTCCTAAAGCAATCTCCAAGCCCTACTAATCAAGAGCAGATCTATCTGGACTTTCTGATAGACTTAACCATCCAAACAGTGTTTAGTGCTCGTTTAAAGAACGATTAACACTAATTTTATACATCTATAGAAACACATGTGAACTGTTCTTAGGCCCAGTATGAGCTGTAAAGCACATGTATTTCACTGACAGCTTCAAAGGTTCAACCACCCAGCCTGAACAAACTGTAGAGGAAACACTGACCAGCGTTTTCCTGAACAGTGATTTCTGATTGGAAATGTAAATTACTGACAAAAACAAACATTACTTTCCTAAATTTAGTTCCACCTAACTAATAACTACTGCTGCCTCTCTTATACCAGCACCAGTAGAACCGTCTCAGTAAAACAGTGGTCAAGCTGTAAAAATCACACTAAATCATACCTTCGATTATCACTGTGTAGATATGAATGACCTCTTCATTCTTCTTGTCCATTACAGTATAAACTCCACTCTCAGATGGAGTCACTGCTCTCAGCTCAAGCCCAGATGTAAGTGATGATCTCTGTGTGTATTCAGGTTTACACTGTAGTGAAGGTCCATCCACTGTACAGATCTGACCACTGGATGGTCCAGCTGCTCCTGTGCTGTTATAAATCACCTCCACTGGATCTGATATGTCCAACCTCAGCACCAGAGAGTCACCAGGTTTTATCTGAACTGTACTGTTCAAGGCTGAGGAGAAAAACAATCAGGAACTTCATCAAATACAAATCAGATATAAAACACAGAACCTGAACTACTGGAGTTTCTATCAGTAACAATCAGTGAAGAAAACAGATGGACACTTACGCTGAATCAGCAGCTTCACATCACAGCGATCTCTAACACCACACTGACACGTGTACCAGCCTCTCTTAGTGAAATCAGCGTCAGTGATGATGAGGGAAAAATCTCCCTTCAGGTACTGATCATGGATCATCTGATATCCCTCCTTCACTGATCTACATGAAGTCTGATCACACTCAGCCAGAGTATCAGTGGATTCACTGAACTCAGTCCATCTGACCAAACCAGAACATCTCTCAGAGCAGGACAGAGTAGCAGAGTCATGAAGATTCACCTTCACTGAAGGAACAGCTGATTCAGACCCTGAAAGAGAAATGACCAAACTGATAAATGTGTTCAGGGACATTAAAATTCCTCCTGAAGGTCCAGTACCAGTGGCGGCTGCACCAGCTGTGCGCAAGTTCAAACGTAGGCTAGTTGTAATGTGTTTACTAAGTTCAGGTTTGTGCTTTACTAAATCAGAACGAGCTGCACCACAAACTAGTTTAACGCTGAGCTCAGTAGCTACTGAACATTTACACCCCCTCAGCAGGTGTAAGTGTTGGGGAAACCATCAGAAACCAGAAACCCAAAACAGGACTTTTTTGGCTGACTAAGCTAAAAGCTGTAAACACTATACACTGATCTTCCTCTCAGCTCTAATCATCAGCCTGGTTTAAACTCATGAAGCTGAACACCCACAGCACCAGCTCAGTGAGACTCAGCAGCCCAAACGGCTAAACTGATCTGCTGCTGGGTCAGTTATCCAGAAACCGGCGTTTAAAAAGCTGCATATTGGTTTATCAGTGAAATATTAAAGAATAATCAGACAGCAGCTGTAGATCATCAGCTTTATTCAGTTTAACTCGTACACATCGTTCTCTTCTACACTGGATATTTTTACCACTGAAAAAGTCAGAACAGCTGCTGCTGTGTTTCCATGGCAGCAGGTTGACTGATTGGTTCTGATCATGTTGTCGTGTTAAAGCGACTTACGTATCAGTTAGTTGGTGCTGGTTAAGACACGACTTACTGATCTGTGGCGCAACCAGATTTAGTAAAAGGACAGTTTGAAACTAATTAGTTTAACTGAGGACTCAGTAAAGACTTTACACACAAACTTAAGTATAAACTCACACAGACCCAGTGCAGCCCAGTCCAGTTTACCCAGAAAATCTAGTTACAAAACAAAGATTAAAGTCAAATCTTTAATAAGATGATAAAGGAGTGACAGTGCAGTTCTTACCAGTAGTGAATGTAGAGATCAGTAAGATCAGGATACAGAGAGCAGAACTGCAGGACTGCATGACTGACCTACAGACACACACACACACACACACACACACACCATCAGTACTGACCAGGAGAGGAGAGAGAGAAGAGAGAAAGAGAGAACAGAACTGACCTACAGACTCGATACACAATGTGTCACCATATTTATTTTTTCTGATATCTGATAAGTCAGCACAGATAAAGCAGCACCACAATTAAAAAAAAGCTTTTTACACACTGCACTACTGAGTGTTTTTAAAGGGAACCCTGACTGTTCAGACATACAGGCCTCAGTATGGTGTACATGTACACAACCATACAAATATATTGTATAAACCAAGCAAAATACTTTATTTATCATTAAAAACAGACAAATCCTTTTACCAATAGACTGACATTTTTGTCGCCACATCAAATGGTGGGTCTCTCTCATCCACTGAGTGAGGAACAGTGAGCTAAATATCTCATTTAACTCTAATAAATCATTCAGGCTTTCCAGCTTTAGCTACAGAGCGTCGTTAGCCAAGAGAAATACTTTTTGATTGTCTTATTTTCCGTAGGACTGACTCCACTGCAACCACATGACATTATAGTGTGACAACGGTGGCCTAAAAATAGAGGAATTCTGCATATTTGTCACGTTTTATAATAAACAAAACATTCCCGTTTGGTTTGTTTCATATTTTAATAGTTTTACACTATTTTAAGGTATACGAGTCTTAACAGTCAGAGCCCCTTAATGTACTGACAGTGTCTGTGTTTACATGCAATGATCCGCCAATCTCATTGAATTCGTTCCAGACTGAGGTGTTTATTCTCACTCTATTCAAGCTGATGAAAATCTCTGTTTACATGCTCACTACAAGTAATCAGATTCAAGATTACACGCATGCGTAGAGAACCAGTGTAGTGTAGACGTTACCATGACAACCAGCATCACGTGAGTCCCGTCAGAGTGAGATGAGCAGCAGTGAGCAGCGCTTGTGTTTTTAATTGCTTTAAAATGATGTCAGACTCAGGAAAACGTCCTTCACGTCCTTATTAAAGAAGGCCGAGAGGAAGACGTCGTGTTCTGAGACACATAAGCTGGACGTCCGTCCCACCGCCGTCTTTTAAAGATCAGAGCATAAACTTCGTCTCCTCTGCAGACCAGTTTCTGCTCCGCCATGTTGAACGGTATAAACTCTCACTATGACGTGACAAACATGATCAGAACGGACTTAAACTTTCCGATAGGGAATGTAATCAGATACAGGCGTTTACACGGATATTATTCTTCTATTTAACGGATTATTTACAGGATTACCCACCTCGATCAGTTGGATAGAAACTGTATTCCAAATGGCCTCAATCAGACTAGCCTATTCAGATTTAGGTGTTTACATGGACGTATTATATTCTGATTGAGCTATTACTCGGATTATTAACAGATTATTAGGCTGCATGTTCACAGATATGCTCAGAAGCAGGCTTGAGTGACAGGGCAATGTAACTGAATATCATCTGCATCATTTTAAATTACTCATAATTTCTTGTATTACAGTTAAGCTTCATCACTGTCTGTATATCATTATTAGTAGTAGTAGTTTGGAAAAGGTATGGGTCTTATAGAGAGACTGGCCAGCAAATGTTTTTTGGCCTGTGGTCCATAAAGTATTTACATTTAGGCCCTGTCCCATTTCTTATTTTCACCCCTTGTTTTTGAGTGTTGCCCCCTGGAACTGAGTTACAGGGTAGTGGTTGAAATCTTCCCTCTGAAATGGGACCCTCAAATAAAAAGAGCATCACTTCATTAACAGCTACTAGCGCTGCTCTGTAGGTGACCCTGCCAGCCGGCAGTGACAGCAGAGGAGGGTAAAGTTCAGCCCCTTTAATTATTTATTATCACCCACCCCTAATTCTTCAGTGATGTGAAGCTGAAGTCAGATATTCACCAACTTCCTGTTCGAATTTTCCTGTTCCACCTTAAATGGTGCAGCAGTTCCGACTCCTGAGGCGCCAGAATGTAACTGTTGGAACGGGAAAGTTAGCTTAGCTAGCTACTGAGACGTTAGCTTACTATTAGCTTGTTATGAAGAAAAGGACCATAATACACTGAAACGACATTAAACTAAGATAATACAGTGTTTTTCATAATTTTAACAGAGAAAATTCTCATATTTGTGGGTTTCTTTGCCGGTTTTTCTTTTTTTCTCATAACTCTCTGTTTGAAGCCTCTGAAAAACCTCCATTTGGAGAGTCATGTAGCCCCAACACTTCGGCCCAATCCCATTTCTTCTTTTTACCCCTACAACTTGTTTTCGAGTGTCACCCTAACCCCCTGGGACTGAGTTACAAGGGGTAGTGGTTTGACTTGCCCTACGAAATGAGACAACCCTCAAATTAAAAAAAAAAAAAAAACATCAGTTCATTAACAACCTACTAGCGCTGCTCTGCAGGCGACCCAGCGCGTCTTCAGTGATAGCAGAGAAGGGAGACGTTCAGCTCCTCACTGCTGGGCTTTAGTTACATTTAGCGCATCAAATGCTTTCAAAATGGGGAATAAGACAATCATTTATCATCACCCACTCTAATTATTTGGTGATATGAAGCTGAAGTCAGATATTCGGCAGCTTCTTGTTCGAATTTTCCCGTTCCACCTTAAATTGTGCAGCAGTTACATTCTGGCGCTCCAGGCGTCAGAACTGCTGGACTATTAAGGTGGAACGGGAAACTTATAATAAACCGTCCGAACTTATAATAACAGACTTTGACGCACTTTTTACAGCATTTAAACAGAGTCTGTTCACAACTTTGAGTGGAGGCTGTATAAAGTGAGTAGCTAACGGACAGACAAAGACAGAGATTTAAGAACAACATCCATAATTTAGAGGCGAATGGACTTGTTTACATTTATAATCACTCCAGCGGGAACGCTGACAGACATTTTACCAGAAACTGTCCTACTTTGGGGAAGATTTCTGTCAGATGTGCGAGAAAAGCGGCTACAGCTGAGCTAAACTTAAAGCAGAGCAAAGCGAGTCTGTGTTGTTTATACCCAGACAGCCAGCGACTCCGGCCCGGCTGTAACAGTTGGCTGTAAGTCGTTCTCAGTCGGTTCACAGTCGCAGTCAGTCAGAACAGACTGAGCTATAATATAGAAAAAGTCATCTATTTTGCGAGCTTGGACGGTGAACTGTGTTCTACCAGGACTCCTCTTTAAGCGCGGGACGTCCAGCTCCTCTACGAACTGGTTCACTGACTAAAGTCTGTTTCACAGGTTCACTTTTCACGCTCTTACACTGCTTTCAGTTCTGATAAATCCCTGGAAATAAACTAACGTGAGTGTGAACTTAGCAGTGCACAGAAACAGAACTGCATTTGTAGCATCAAAGAAAACGAATGTATCATAAACTTTGATTGATCCTTAATCATCCTTGTTTATTATCTGTGGAAATGTCACATCCATAAATGTAAATAACTAAAGCAAATGTTACACTTCAAAATAAAAAAAATTGGTCATGATTTGCACTTCCAGGACTGAAATACACTAAATCCAATAAATCAATTATTAAATGTATATTACTGAAACACCGGAGTTCAGCTCTCTGACTTTTAAGCATTTTTGAAACGAGCATTATTAATGTTTATATTAATTTGGAGAACTTTATCATAATTTAATTTGAGCTGAGCTCCACAAACTGCTTTAAACTGTATTTTAGGCTATAGTTTTGTGCTGAGATTCAAAAAGCAAGGAAGAGAATTAAAGTGACTGGCGGAGTTTTTGACCAATTAAAACACAGCAGAGGAGGAGCTGAGCAGTCTGACTCCGCCCCCTGGAGGTTTAGTGCAGCAGCACGCGCTTTCTCCAAGCGTTCGGTTTGACTGTTTAAAGAAGCGCGACCGTTAGGAGCCGTTAAACGCGCAGTACTCACCGCGTTACCGACCCACCAGGCTTTAAAAGCTTATCAATCACATTTGTACGGAAATCTACGGAGCCCCGCTGGTGACATCTCGTATGAATAAAAATAATAAATAATGCATGGCCACGCCTTGTTAACGCATGGGAACGAGATCCTAATGCGTGGCCATGACTTAGTAAGGCATAATAATAAGGAATGAGATCACGTTTTTAAAAGTTTATCAATCGTATTACCTTTGTTTTAGGCATTATCTGCAGCTAGCAGTGGTTATGAATTTATACATTCACATGCTCAGTGGTTCGTTGGCTGTAAGTCGTTCTCACTCGGCTCACAATCGTGTTTGTACGGAAATCTCTTCAGAGAGTCTGTCTTACTCTCTGCTCTGAGATGATGGTGCTCTGTGCCGCTGACTGAGATTTCAGCTCTGAAGACCGAAGACTCCGCGGGTGGAATGAGGACCGCTACCCGCTACACGGGGACCCTAAACCCTGCATTAAAGGAGAGCAGTAATGAGGGTCTCAACCAGGCGGTCTGAGCTGAGCTCTGCACTCATACTCAGCTAATTCATCTCCGGGTCAGTCTGACAGGAAAATCACCAGCGTCAGCTAAGCTAGGCTAAAGTTAGCTGGTTTGTCTGCTGAGGCCCTGCAGTTGTTGCTTAGCGACTACCCAGCGCTGTTAAGCGCGAGCGCCGCCGTCTGATTTCAGCAGTACAGAGAGGAGCTGATAGTGTTCACATCCCTGTAAAGCTCAAACTAGAGAGTATCAGTATCACAGGCTAAAGGCCACAGTCAGTCTGAGAGTGTTTGAATACATCCACACTAAACTGAGTTATTGTCTAAAACTCTGAAGAAGACATTACTTTGGAAACAGAGCCAGTCATTCTGTTTGTTGTGTATTTGAACAGCGACAAAAGCGTTGTTTCCTGTTCTCTTGATTTATTTTACATCAGCAGACCACAGTATCTTTAGCTCTGTATGTCAAAAACAGCCCCCATAAAGAACTGCATATAAAGTGTTATTGTTGTCTTTCAGTTTCGTATTTTGCAGAATGTGCTGTGTTATTGCTAATATTAATATAGTCACATTTTCTGTCCTGTACAGATCATCGTTGCTGAAGAGGTGAACATGTCACTGGAGTAGTGCCACCACAAAAGCCCAGCCTAAGACCCTCTTTACATCAGAGACATTTACAGCTTTGTGTCTATAGTAGGCTACACTTAACATACGTTATTCTGATGTTCTTGCGTCTGTTTTTTTCTGTTGTGTTTCAAGTCAGTTTAAGGATTAACTTCAAAGACTAAGTGTGAATGGCTGGACATGGAAGAGTTCCAATTTCCAGGTAAAAACCTGTTCTGAAATATATATTAATTCTCAAATGTTATTCATTTCAATGCACCCCACAGTAATAGCTGTAATAGACTATTCCATGCTGTCATGTGACGACACAA